GGGGCTGCGGTTGCACCGACGCGCGAGGAGCTCCCGGGAACCGGGCGGGGGTCCCCGGCGGGTTTGCAGAGCCGGGCCCGGGAGGAGGGCCGAGGCCGCAGTCGCGGGGACGCCGCGGGCCGCGGGGTTGCAGGGTTGGGCACCAGCGGCGCCCGAATCGCTGGGACTGGGGCGGGTGGGGAGGGCGCCGATGTCCAGCTTCTGGAACCGGGGCTCTGCGGTGTCGCTCCCCGGACGCAGGAGCTGGAGCCTCCGCGGCTCTGCGGACGCGAAAGGCGCGACCTGGGGGGAGGGGGGCTCATGGTGTTCGTCTCCGCGCCTGTATAGCTGGCTGCCTCGCCCCGGCCGGGAAACGCGAACCCAGACCCCGAGGGTCGCAGGGGGCAGCTGTCCGCTCCCCCCCCCCACCACACACACACGCTCCCTTCCTTTTCTGCCCCCTCCTCCCTCTCCTCCGCGGAGAGATCCTGCTGCGGGTCCAGGGGCCGGAGCCTGCGGGCCGGGGGTTGAGGCATCTCAGGAATTCGCTGGGAGGCAGTAGACGCTCCTGGGCTGGGCTGGAGGGCTGGCCCGGAGTTCCGTCCTGCCCCTGACCCCCCGTGTGACCTTGGGCGGCTTCTTCCCCAGCACCACGTGGGCAGGGGCCCGGTCTGTAGTTGGGGGTCCTCTGGGCCAGACCCCCAACAGACCCGGAGTCGAAGTAGGAGGCTGCTTAGGGGCCGGGGCCCAGCGACCTTCCGACCCCGTCCCAAACGGGGAAGGGGGCCGCAGGGGTTGGAGAAGTGATGACGGCGCTATTGCGGGTATGAGGACGCCGTGTCCCACCTGCCAGCCTGATGTGGGACCCTCGTGGACCTCTGGGCAGGAAACCCCTGCCCTGCCCCAACCAGCTGCCCTTGGGGCGGGAGTAGGCCGGGTGGATTGGCAGAAGTGTTCCAAGTCTGTACCCCGAGTCATGGGCAAAACCCCTCCCGAATTTCTGCCAGGCAGTTGCCGCTTTAAATTGCCAGGCTCAAAACTGTCACAGCTGATCTGTTCCTGGAGCAAACGGCCCAGAAAGATGACAGTGGGTGTCCCCTCCCCCGGGCCTGTCCGGGAGATGAGGCTCCAGGGCACAGCAGTCCACTCTGCCTGGTCAGCTTTGTACCTTTCACTCTGGGCATGCTCTGTAGTTGGTGGGGGCAGCGGGGCACTCGTTCTGCGCTGGAAGCAGGAGCCTAGCTGTGCACTTTGAGGAGCCTGTGCTCCGCTCTGTGGTCAGTCCCCCCCGCACAGCGTGGGTGCCGGCCTGGGCAGCCCCCTGGGAGCAGCCCTGGACGAAGATGGCACAGGGGTGTCCTCTGGTCTCCCTCTCCTGCCCCTAGCTTTATGCTGGCTCCTGACTTGGGCTGGCATGGCGGCCAAGCCTCTGAAGCCATGTGTGTCCAGAGACCCATGTTCAGCAGTTGGGTTTGCAAGGAGAGGAGAGAAGCAGCCCCAGACCCCCCAGAGGCAGGAAAGGACACCCAAAGAGGTGTTTGGGGTGCCCGCAGCCCAGCCATTGAGCAACCGCACTGGAAGGGGGGCATCTTAGGGCCAATCTATAAAGATGGAGAAACTGAGGCCAGAGAGAGGCAGGGACATGTCCAAGGTCACACAGCACCCCGCTGTCCCCAGCTCTCCAGCAATCCAGCTGTCCTGGAGTTGCAAGAACCTGGAGAAGGCTCATGGGAATCGGTGTTCCCCTCAGAGGTCCTCACAGTGGATGGACAAGGAAGGGGACACTGGCTCCCGCACAGTTTGCAAACATTAAGTAACATTAAGTCTCATGACCAGAGATGCCACCCTCTCCCGTGGCTGCCTGCCCTTGCAGCCTGTTCTCCACTGGCCCCACTACACCACCCATGATCTCAGTTGTGCCTTGCCGTTGTGCAGAGGGGATGCCAAGGCCAAGCCGAAACTGGACCCTCTGGGACCTCAGCTTTCCTCCAACCAGTGTCCTAACTGCTAGGGTGCTAAGCACCTGAGCATCTCTAGAAACACAGCCATCCTTCGTTCTGGTAGTAAGCTCCCTGCCACCGGGGTGTGCAAGCTAGAGCTGAGCACTGACTGGTCACGGAGGCTAGGAATTTGGGCTCTGGTGGGTGAGCTGCCAAATGTCTCATCACTCCCCCACACCCTGGCCTCAGTCCTTCATAACCAGGGATGGGGAGTAGGGTTGCTTGCTCTTATCAGGAAATGCTTCTTGTGTGAAAGAGGCTGGGTGAAGGCACTGGGGGAGGCCCCTCTATGAGGCCGGGTCCCACCTACCGCCGTTGCTCAGTCCTGGTGTTCACTGCCACTATGAAGTGACTCCAACCTGCTCATGGGAGCAGCATCTCCCAGTGCCCCCTGCCCTCCCGCTGGACCCAGCCTTCACCCTTGCCCCGTCTTGGCTCCTGCAGCGATGCACACCCCAGCCATGCAACTCAGAAAGCTTTGTTCATCTTTCATCACTCATCGATGACACAGACTCTTCAGCAAAGTCTGCCCTGAGTTTCTGCCTTCCCCAGGGGCCCCATTGTCCCTGAGCAGGGGAGGGGAGCAGTGTGCAGGGACATGGGTAGGCCTGACTTCAAGACCCCACCCCCTACCGCCCTGGGCTCGTCAGGGCAGCTACCGCAAGTGCCAACGTGGAAAGGCAGGACTCGGGTGGCCAAGTTCTCAGGGACTCTTGGAAGAACTGAGTGTATGTGGCCTTCTGACCCAGCACGACTGCAGTTCAAACCCTGCAGGTGTTTTTAAGCATCTGCTCCGTGCCAGACCCCACCGCGGAGCGTCCCAAATGTCGTCCCATTTCATCTGCAGAACCACAGGCCCATCCACTCCCGTGTGTGAAGGCTCTCGGGGCAGGATATGACAGCAGTGCCGTCAGTCCGCCGGCCTGCGGGCCCACGGGGGACACTGTGCCCGCCTGCCCGCTGCAGCCTGAGTCCTTCCGTGACTGGGCCCGCGGCCCCCAGCAGCTTGGGGTGGCGCTCCTCCAGAGGGGTGCTCAGAGGGCTCCACGTGTGAATCCACATGGCCCGCGTGGACTGCGATGGGAAGGCTTGCCGGGGGACCCCGACCCCGTCCGTGAGTTCGGGCTTCCCACGCTGCCTCTTTGGAAGGCAGTCCTGTTGGAATTTACTGTCTTCTCTGCAAATTCCCTGAGGGCGGAACAGTGGCGAGGCACCTGCTGACCCCTGCGCCTGGGGCTAATGTAAATCTTTGTTGTGCTCGGCTGAGGGGGAGCCAAACCAGGAGCAGGGTAGTGAGTTCCCCTCACTGGAGGTATGCAGGCTTGGTGTCCAGAGCAGTCCTGGATCTCAGCTGGGTTGGATGCCCTGGCGGGCCATTTTAGTTCCAGGGCTCCCAGAGCCAATGACTTTTTTTTTTAATTATTGTCTGAGGACTTGGTGAAACCCATCAGGGTGGTAATACAGGTTTGAAAAATGCTAAGCGAGTGCCAGGGTGTTTTAATAAAGTCAGTTGCCTAGGGGCATTATGGGAACACCTCATTATTCAGTTCATCCAGATTCAGAACCAGGACCAGCTTTTGCACGTAGCTGAGGGGCCTGAGGCTTTGGTGTGAAGCAGCAAGGAAATTGAGAGTCATGCTAAATTCAGGAGCATGGGGGTCACTGTCCACTGTCAGCCACGCTGAGGTCAGAGAACTGAGCTCCCTGTTGCTTTGGACAAGTCCCTTCCCCACAGAGGAAGGAGTTTGGAAGAGTCCAGAAAACACTTCCGAAGTTGTGAGGTTTGGGGGTGGGAGGAGGGGACAGGAGGGGCCGAGGCAGCAGTTCCCATGGGCTCAGGGGTGTGGACCAGCTGAGGGCCAGCCTGCCTCTGCACTGGATTCCATTCCAGCTCTCAGCTTCCTGGCTCCGTGACCCTGGACCAGTCCCGAGACCTCCCTGAACCTCAGTCTCCTCCTCTTGAAAAGGGGGGTGATGATAGGGCCGCCCTCCTAAGGCAGGTGTGAAGGTAATTCTGGAAAGTGTGTCAGTGTCATGCAGCCATTTTCCGTTTTCTCCTTTGGGGATATCCAGAAGCTACGAGGTATTTCTAAGGCCTCAAGATCCAAAGAGAAATGCCAGCTCCCTTGATTTTCTCATCCAACAAATATTTACGGAGCACCTACCTACTCTACCACCACGGGAGCAAAGCAGACGCCCTTCCCTCCGGGAGCTTTTATTCCAGTGGCAGGAGACCCACAGCTATTAAGTAAACAAACAAAGAAAAGAATTTCAGAGAGTGCTAAGGGCCAGGAAGAATGAGTCTGTCCTGGGTGGTGTTAAAGCTGCTTTGCAAGAGAAGGACTTTCCAGAAGGGAGAGGACAGGAGCCCCCTCACCCTCATTTGGGCTCCGGGAGACCGAGACTCCAGTCCTGGCCCTACTGGCTTCCCATGTGCTGTGCCACTTTGGGGAAGTTCCTTCCTGTCTCTGATCCTGGATTCTTGTTTGTGAGTTGAGACAGCAGATCAGCCCCTCCAGTTCAGATGTCCCATGTGGCGGGGGTGGCTGTTGTGTGGAGGTCACTGCCTTGTGGTGCTGTTGTCATCGCTGGGGTCCCCTCCTGTCCCCTATATGTGCCGTACACAGCTACCTTTCTGTTTGAAATGTGATATGCAACCTGTCACACAGAAGGGGGAAGACATATGTGCAGGAGCTTAAAGGAACATAAGAGGAACACACAGGCGACCACCACCCAGGGCCAGAAGCCCTCTGCCCACCCGTGGGCTCTTCCCCAACTATGGCCCCTCTGAGATGCTCACCGCCCTGACTGTTGTGGTAATACTGTCCTTGCTCTCACCATTTCACCATCTATCAGAGCAAGTCTTTACAACACAGTTTTGTGTTTCTTGTCTTTGAGCTGTCTATAAATAGACTGAGGCTGTAGCTATTGCTTTGGGTCTGGCCTCTTTGGTTCAAAGTCATGAGTAGCTGTAGCTTTCCTTTTTAATGGCTGTATAGTATTCCGTGACCACGGTGTATGTATGTATGTATGTATGTAGTCTCTGTGCTGGACATGAGTGTGTCTTCAGTTTGGGGGTTTGGGGCCATATTCTTGAACCTGCCCACATCCTAGTGCTCCTGTGACCTTCTCTCCAGCATCTGTCTCAAACTGGGCAGTGAAGTACATTCAGTTTCACAGAGCAGAGTCACACAGTGCCCTTCCCTCCCGCTGCCCCCCCCACCGGCACCCCATTGCTAGTCTTCGTCATTTTCATTCACCTGCAAGTGTGTGACAGGTTCAGCCTGCGTTTCCCTGCTTGGCGATGGGCTCGGGCGTTTTTTGTGTGTGTCTTGGCCGTTTGGAGCTCCTCTTCCATGAAGGGCCTGTCTTGCACTGTCTTTCTATTTTCTTGTTGATTTGGAGGATTCTTCAGGTATTCCGGATTCTAATCCTTCATCAGTTCAATATGTTGTAAATATCTTGCCTTTTTCGCTTTTACTGGGATCTTGGGATGAACGTCTTAATTCCAGGGGTCAAATCTGTCTTTCTCTTTATTATTAGCGTTGCATGTGTTTTAAAAAATCCTTTCCAATCCTGCGGTCATGCATTCTCCTTTTACATTAGATGTTTAATCTGCCTGAAATTGATGTTAGGATGTGGTGGGATAAGGGTCCCTTTCTCACAGACACCCCCGCCATGTCCCAGCCTTTCCCCTATCCACTCTGCCCGTCCCCCTCCTCCTGTGTTCATCCCTCTCCGGGGCAGGCAGGAGCCCAGGACTGCAGGCTCGGGGCTGGAGGACCCAGCAGGGACAGCCCCGAGGGCAGGGCAGACAGCCCTCCCCCACTGGCCCAGCTGCTGCTCCTGCCAAACAGGTCTGTGGGGCTGTCACGTGTCCGGCTGGCGCTGACTCGGGCTCTGGCGGATTAAGCAGGGGCTCAGGGCTCAGGACCCGCACTGGCCCGGGGGAGGGCTGAGGGAGCTTGTCGCCGTGGGCCACAGAGGAGGACTCCCGAGGCCAGCGAGGCCCCAGCCAGGGCACTGGGACAAGGTGAGAGAGGGCCAGGCTGAGTCCTGGCCGTGTCTTTCCTGCGCAGCTCTGGGTACTTCTGTCTGGAAAATCAAACGTCCCCCCCAAGCTCTTGCCAGCCGGGTCTGTTTGGGGAAGCCGAGAGCCAGGAGGTGGAGGGTTACAGCCTGCAGCAAGGACCTGGCAGGTCTCAGGTCCCCATGCATGCGCCCCCGAGCTCACGCACCCACGCCCAGGCACCTGCCCAGTGTCTCCCAAGAGACTCTGCATCCCCTTCAGTGTCCAGAGCCTGCCCGCTAGGCAGGGGGGTCACTGACAACCTCCAGTCTGCTCCCCAGATCCAGGTGCCCTTCCCCAGGCAGCAGCCAGTACCTGGCCTGGTAGGACACAGCCAGCCAGGGACACGGCCTTCCTGCTCCTGGAACCACCAGTACAGGGAAGGGGGAGGAAGTGGGTACGAACTGAGCACCATTTACATGCCAGGAACCTCCTTTGTCCTCTTTACTCCTACCCTGCAAGGTGGGGAAGATTCACCCATTTATTTTTTTTAATTTATTTTTTATTATTATTGTATTTGTTTTGGGGTGGGAGGTAAGTAGGTTTATTTATTTATTTTTTATTATTTATTTTAACAGACATACTGGGGATCGAAGCCAGGACCTCATGCATGGTAAGCATGCACTCTACCACTGAGCTACAGCCACTCCCCAAGTTCACCCATTTGACTGAGGCTCAGGGAGGGGCTGTGGTCCAGCCAGGGCCCGGACAGGGAGGATGGCCCCCAGCATCTCAGCAGCCTGCCTCCTGGATCCCAGAAGTTGCAGGCCCTGCTCAACCCCTGCCTGAAGGCACAGACCCTCCGGCGCAGAGCTTCGCCTGGGGCCTCTCTGAGAACTCTAGGTCCCTGGGGGAAGTCAGGGCCAGGAGCACCACCCAGTGCCGTGGGGTCCAGCTCACCCACGGCTGGTGGCTAGGACTCCGGCTCTGTCTCCTTGTTTGTGCCGTGGGGGTGACAGTAATAGACCCCACCTCTCCTGGTGACTCTGAAAGGCCACCGTTGGGAGGAGGGTGTAGCTCAGTGGTAGGGTGCATGCCTAGCATGCATGAGGTCCTGTGTTCAATCCCCAGTACCGCCATTAAATAAACAAACAAATAAACCTAATTCCCCTAACCCCCCCCCAAAAAAACTTAAAAAAAAAGAAAAGAAAGAAAGGCCACTGTGCATTTAAGGGCTTCCAAACACCGCCACCCCCAGCAGGCACTGGGGGACTTAGCTTCTGTTTTTACAGGGAAGGTCAGACCTGAGCTCTCCATGTCCTCTGAAATTCTGAGCTCCTGTCTGTTTTCCCTGGGCCTTTTGTGTGTGTGTTTATTCCTATGGGTTTAATATTTGCTTGGAAGTACGGGCAGGTGGGAAACGGGTTCAGCAGGATAACAGCAGACGATGCAAACAGCATCTGCCCCTGCCCCCTCCCCAGAGCAGACATGAAAAGCACGGGGTGGGTATCTGGTCAGAAATGTTCCTCCGAGTCTATTTGTTCCCCGCGCCGTATTTTAAAGAGAACAGGCGGCAGCTGGCTCTGCCCCCATCCTGTGACTTGCCTCTGGGCCTTTAAATGCGCCCACTCCGTTGGAGAGCCTGCTGGCCGCCTCCCTCCAGCAGGCGGGCATGTTCACGGATGCTGGCACCAGATTGTCCTCGTCAGCAGGACTCGAGGGAGGCTGCAGCCTGGCACGGGGCAAACAGGGGACTGTTGAGTAGCAAAGAACGGTCCCTCTGTGCCCAGGGAAGGCCCCAGTTGGAGAGCAGCTCCCCCTCCTCCCCACTCCAGCAGATCTGGGGCTGGAGCAAGGGTGGAGCCTGGGGACCTGGCCGAGGCCCAGCCTGGCTGCCAGCTGTCCACTGGGTGACCTTGAGCTGGCTCTGGGCCCCTGCCTCAGTGCAGAAGCCCGGGGCACGTGGTGGCCTCAGCGAGGGGACTGAGGGTCTGTCTTCTAAGACCCGACAAGGCAGCCCTCAGCCATCGCGCCTGGGTGAAAGGCCGGTCTCTGGGCTGGAGTTTTCACTGCCTCCCTGTTAAGCTTTGCCATTGCTCCGCGAGGCAGCCGAAGTCAGTGCTAAGTCTGCTGACATGTTCTCTGTGGGCTTTGTGACTCCTGGACCCGCTGGTGTCTTATCTCTGCTGTGTAAATCTCCCAGCGGGCTGGGCAGGGCTCTGTCCTTCCTGGCGTCTGAGAAAAGAAGGCAGCAGGTGGCTACATGCAGCAACATACCCTGCATGCCTGACTACGAGGCCTCATCAGAAGGGCTCCTGCCCCCTTGAAGGAAGAGTAGGGTCCACCTACTCTTGGTGTCAGGAGGGTGGCTGGGACCATGTCAGGAGGGTGGCTGGGACGGTGGATCACAGTTACCCAGTGGGGCAGAGCTCCAGGCACTGCCAGGGTGCAGATGTTCAGGTTGTACACTGCACAAGAGCAGTTGGCAAAGGAAGAATGCACTCTTGCCAACCCGCAGGCCTGAGAGGCAGCATCCACCAGAAGAGGGCACCTTTTACAAATTCGCACACGGGCCCTGCGTGCTCACTGGCAAAGGAGCAGTGCCTGGGTGTGGGGTCTCCTCTCTACTTACGTGGCCTTCCTCTGCTGAGTTTTCTAGAATCTCCCTCCAGGACTCTGCTGGTAACCCCAGGGGAAAGTGAGTGCCCAACTCCAGACACCCTTTGTCTGCGTGAGCAGCTTGAACAGACCCAGCCTGGTGAATCCTCAGAGGAAACCGGGCCGTGTTGCAAAGCAGACCTGGGTCGGTCCACATCTCCACTCTAGCTACTGCTGGTCAGGACATCTCAGCACACCCTCCACTTTAGCATCTGTTAATATCCCTGCTAAACCTCAAGGGTGAAGGACCCTTACCCCTGTGTCCAGCCCCTTGAGCAGGGCCACTTTATTTGTGAAGGTATGTCGATTTTGGGACAGGGACTTATGTAAACTAGACATTCATTTCATCCACAAATATTTTTCGAGCACGTGGTCTATGCCCGGCACTGTGCTGGGGCTGGAAATAAGCAGAAATAAACACAGACATGATGTTTACCCTCCCAGAGCTGCCCAGTGAAGGAGAGAACACTCTGGTGAACAGCATCGACCAGGGGCAGGGAGGAGTTGCTCAGTCGGGCCTGTGAGGAGGTTAGGGAAGGCTGCCCTGAAGGAGCCCAGCATGAAGGTGGAGTTGGGATAAGCAGGTGAAAAGAGAGAGACGTAAGCACCAGGCAGGGGGGGAACAGCATGTGCAAAGGCCCAGGGGCAGGAGCCAATTTGCTGGGTATGAGGCTCGAGCCAAGTGGAAAGAGCAGAGGTAGGCAGAGTCCAAATCCACAGGGGCTTTTGGGCGTGGCAAGGAGTTTGGTGCTTATTTCTTAAGGAGTGAGGAGCCAGGGTTTGAAGCAGGCCAGTGACTTGTTAGATTGAAGTATCAGTGAAATTGGGTTTGAGTCCAGGCTGCGCTCCCTGACTGAGCTGCACTCCCGATGTCTGACAAGGAGGGTCGAGGTGGAGGGTGTCTTAGGTTGTGCAGGAAGGACGGCGGAGATTTGAATGAGGAAGCTTAGGGTGGGGCCCAGAGTCTGTTTGAGCTGCCCCTCTGGGCACCTGCCTGGAGACTGGGGCACCACCCCATGTGGTCAGCTTGGGGCTGGGAAGGCTAGGCTGCAGTTCTCCAGCTGGGCAGCAGGTGGAGCCAGCCCCTCAAAGGTGGCAGGTAGGCTGGCCCAGCAGGGACCAGCACAGTGACAGGTGGGGCTGGGGACGTCTCTGGTCCCGGCCAGGGCAGGTCCGCGCTTCCCCTTGCTCTCACCTGCAGCCCGAGTGGTGCCCAGACTGCTGGTTCGGTGGCTTCAGCCTGCAGTTGCCAAAACCCTGTCTTTCATCTGCTCCGAGGACCATACATCAGCTGTGCCCTGAGCTGCCATTTTAAGCTGATCTAAATTTGCCACCGAGCCCGACCTGGGGACAGCTGGGTGAAACCATCCACTGCAGGGGAGTGCTGGGGTCCAGATCTCTGCTCTGCAGGCTCAGCCAGTGGAATGCAGTTAATGGAACGTCCGCTCACAGGGTGGGCGGACGTCAGCACACAGTGAGTGCCCAACGATTGCTGTCTCAGCCAGGGCCAGGCACCCAGGAGGCCTGCAGAGCCTGGAAGTGCCTTTCCTGAACCGCCCCTGCACCTGGCACGGGGGCCAGAAGCACAGGGGAGCCAACATGAGTTGAATAGGGAAGTGCCCTTCCGACCAGAGGCTGTGTGCTAGAGCGGACGCTCACGCTTCGGGTGTCGTAGGTATGAAGTCTCATCTCGGCGTCTGGTGGGCGATCTTGCCTCTTGGACAGGTGGTTTGGTCCTTCTGATCCCTGTTCCTCTTGTGAGATGTGGACGGTGCCCTCCCTGTGGCTGGGAGGGTTGCAGACACCCCGCGTGAGCCCCTTGGAGCACCCAGCACGGAATCTGTGCTCGGGACACTGCCACTCGGGATACACCAGGCCGTCCCTTCCACGAACTGCAGGCGGTCACCGGGGGAGGCTGGGGCAGGAGCTAGAGCCTCGAGGGCAAGCAGCCTGCAGCAGGCTGGCCAACGGACGCGAGAGGGAATTTCCTAGAAGGCAGCATCTTCTCCAGCCTGTCCAGGGAGGGTGGGAAGCAGGCCAGTAACAGGGCCCCTCCTGAGGGCGGGAGGCAGGTTCCTCCAGGACTGACCCCGGAAGGGGTGCCCACTTCTCCCTACATGGGTGCCCGCAGACAAGTTCCCGTGAGAGGCCCACCGGGTGCAGCTTTCCCCCGGAAGGAGGGATCCTGAAAGAGGACGTGGCCTCGAGGAGACCCCCCAGGCGCCAGCCCACACCCCCGCCCCCGCTGCTGCCTGTCCGCGCTGGCCTGGGTGTGGGTCACCCTCACCCGGGGTAATGATTACTGCCCAGTCGCCGACATGGAACAAATGTTGTGTGCTTGTAATTACAAATTTCGTTTCTGACACTCCAGGGGTTTGCAAAGCTTGGCATCTGTGCTGTTAACACATAAATTACAGTCATTTATGGAAGTTGCCAGAGAGACCAGAATTCTGACGCTGTGTGAGAGACGTGCAGTGAGGAGGCACTCCAGGAGCCAGGGGTGGCCCAGTGTGGGCCTCGAGCTTTGCTCGTATTTCACGGGGTCAGATTCCCTTACCCACCCTAGACCGCACACGTGGGCCTGCAGGCTGGAATCCCAGTCTTGACGCCACTTGCTTGGGTCTTGGTTTCCCGATGGACTAAGTAACCGGACTTGATGACTGATTCCGTGCATCAGGGTATGTCTGGCTGCAGGCACCTGCCTCCAGGCACAAGGTGCTCCCTGGGGGCCTGTCCTCCTGTCTTCATGACGCAAGCAGCCTTTGTTCCCAAGAGGAGGGGACCAGGGCCTTGGAGGCCCGGCTCTGGCCCCCGGGGTCCCAGGCAGCCCTCCGCAGCCTCAGAGGGCTGGGAAGTCATCACGTGCTTCAGGTGTTGCTTCTTGCTGCAGAAAGTGCGTTCTCAGATCCGTTACCCTCCAAGCAGGGATTCTGGAAGTGTGAGACTCAGGCCGCCGGTGGGCCTGGAAGGCTTCCGGGTGACCCCGGGTGCTGCGCGCAGTGACACGGACTGGGGAGAAAGTTGTTCCCCGCCCAGTGCACCTCCAGCCCCTGAGAGTCCATCGAGTCCCATGTTCCGGTCAGCGCTGGTATCTCTTAACGCCTCTTTACCACTCAGAAAAGGCGTAATTAAATTCCAGGATTTTATGAGAAGTGCTATGTCTCATGATTCAAGAGTGAGAGATAGAAAAGACCGCATGACAGTGAGCCCCCCAGCCCCAGCCCCCCAGAGGTGTCCTCTGTCCAGAGAGACTTTATGCGTCTGGAATCGTGTGTGCACGTGTGTGTTCTTCCCCCATGCCTCTTTTACCCCAATGTAACATTCTTTTTTTTAAATTATTTTTTATTGAAGTGTAGTCGATTTACAATGTTAGTTTCAGGTGTATAGCAGAGCGATTCAGTTACACGTACACATACATATAC